CAGGATGGTCTCGATCTCCTGACCTCGTGATCCGCCCGTCTCGGCCTCCCAAAGTGCTGGGATTACAGGCTTGAGCCACCGCGCCCGGCCAAGTCTCCTTACTTTTAAGACTAGAACAATTTTCATCATGGGGGAGAGGCAGAGGGAGAGTCGGGCATCAGACATTGGAAGAACAAGTCCACATACCTTGAAATCTTCATTTAAGAATGGGCTTCTCAGACGGAACCCTTTCATTCCCGTGCAGGCATGGGACATGTGCTTCGCCATCAACCCTGCGTAGCTGGTGAACGTGGCTGGGCTCTTCCTCTTGTGTTTTCTGAGCTGGCTCTATGCCGTTTATGATTTCCAGGAGACTGATTAAACAAAGGACAAGACTAGAGTGGGAAATGAGAGGCTCTTAAAAGTAGAAGATTTTTGTTTGTCCATTTACAAGAAATTGGACAATGGATCACTTCAGGAAGATGGAGGTCATCAACCTCACCGCCCTACCGATGATACCAGTGGATGAGCACCTGGCTGTCTCGCTTGTCGCACGGGATACAATGGTGAAGACTGTGAGGAAGGAGTTAGAGAACAATCCACCCTGTATCCTTCTGGTGGTGTTGCCTACAATCAGACCAAATACACCTAACTTGAGTCATGCTACAGAGATCTAATCAGTGCTCAGGTCTATAATGCACATTACTTATTAGTTTGTCCCTTATACATTCATTTTTTTTCTTTTCTTTTCTTTTCTTTTCTTTCTTCGTCTTTTTTTTTTTTTTTTTTGTGAGATAGAGTTTCACACTGTTACTCAGGCTGGAGTGCAGTGACACAATCTCGGCTCACTGCAACCTCTACCTCCCAGGTTCAAGCAGTTCTCCTGCCTCAGCCTCCTGAGTAGCTGGAATTACAGGTGCCTGCCACCACGCCTGGCTAATATTTTATATTTTTAGTAGAGATGGGGTTTCACCATGTTGGCCAGGCTGGTCTTGAACCCCTGACCTCAAATGATCCACCTGCCTCGGCCTCCCAAAGTGCTGGGATCACAGGCATGAGCCACCACGCCCGGCCAGATACATTTTTTTCAGTTACTTAAATGCTACCTATCCTCTAAAAGAATTTGAGATTGTGAAGGATTGTTTGACTCCAGTATTTTTACTAATATAATCAGAAAGAGCCCCAAAGGAAGAAGTTCTGGAAGTATTTGTTGAAAGAATGGGGAAGAAGATTTTAAAAGCTAATTTTATTATTTTATTATTATTATTATTATTTTTTTGAGACGGAGTCTCACTCTGTCACCCAGGCTGGAGTGCAATGGCGCAATCTCAGCTCACTGCAAGCTCCACCTCCCGGGTTTACGCCATTCTCCTGCCTCAACCTCCCTAGTAGCTGGGACTACAGGTGCCTGCCACCATGCCCGGCTAATTTTTTTGCATTTTTAGTAGAGACAGGGTTTCACCGTGTTAGCCAGGATGGTCTCGATCTCCTGACTTCGTGATCTGCCCTCCTTGGCCTCCCAAAGTGCTGGGATTACAGGCGTGAGCCACCGCACCCGGCCTAAAAGTTAATTTTAAAAAATGGTTGCTTTGTTTCCCTTCGACCTCCCAAAGAATTATAGATGTTATTGATAGCAACTAAGAAGTTGTGGTGCAACCCTCCACCCTCAGACAGATGAGCATGAAACCCAGCTTTTTCTTTTTCTTCTTTTTTTTTTTTTTTGAGACGGAGTCTCACTCTGTTGCCCAGGCTGGAGTGCAGTAGCGCAGCCTCGACTCACCACAACCTCTGCCTCCCAGGTTCAAGGGATTCTTCTGCCTCAGACCCCAGAGTAGCTGAGATTATAGGTACCCACCACCATGTCTGGCTTATTTTTGTATTTTTGGTAGAGATGGGGTTTCACCATGTTTGTCAGGCTGGTCTCGACCTGACCTTAGGTGATCTACCCTCCTCAGCCTCCCAAAGTGCTGAGATTACAGGCGTGAGCCACCACGCCCAACTTGTAGCCCATTTTTAAATCAGGTTATTTTCTTATTGTTGAGTTTTTAAGAGTTCTTTGGATATTTTGTTTGCTTGGGTTTATTTGTTTGTTTGTTTGTTTGTTTTTGAGACACAGTCTTACTCTGTCGCCCAGGCTGGAGTGCAGTGGCACGATCTCGGCTCACTGCAACCTCTACCTCCCGGGTTCAAGCTATTCTCCTGCCTCAGCCTCTCAAGTAGCTGGGATTACAGGCGCCTGCCACCACGCCCGGCTAATTTTGTATTTTTAGAAGAGACAGGATTTCTCCATGTTGGTCAGTTTGGTCTCGAACTCCTGACCTCAGGTGATCTGCCCACCTCGTCCTCCCAAAGTGCTGGGATTACAGGCATGAGCCACTGTGCCCGGCCTTTTTTTTTTTTTTAATCAGGTTGACCTTGACTCTTTTCACCTGCCAGCCCTTCTCCCTGGCCCCAAATCTGCTCCTTCTGGCATCATCCAGGCTTTACCAGCATCTTATACTTGCCCTGGCCCTGTCTTCGTTCATCCTTGTCTCGCGTCTGACCCTGAGTTGTATTCCAGGGTCACAGAACTCCATCTCTGGAGGACCTTACAGCTTGTCCAGCAAATAACCCTCTCGGGCTGGAAATAACTCCAGGTCTTTCCATCTCCTGTGGGACTCATTTACCTTCAAGCCATGCTGCCAGCCCAGCTGCAGGTACCACTCTGCCCCCCTCACCTTCTGTGCCTCTCAGAAGCCCTTCTTAAGATGAGGCAAAGTGTCATCCCATCAGAATTTGCTTCAGGGTTTCACTTTGCAGGGCTGCTTTCTAATGTCCCCGCTTTCTTCTTAATCCCACACCTAACAAGTCCATTTCACCTACTGTGATTTGTCATGTCCCTTCTTGGTGTCTTCCTTTTTCAAGTATCCTCTGATTTGTAAGAACACTCGAGGGTAATGGAAGTAAGAGTGAACCTTGCTTTATGTGAAGGCAGTGAGGGGTGATAGGATTATGGGGGTTTTACAAAGGATATATCCTAGATCAATAGAGGCTAAGACAGAAAGAAATGTAAAAGCTGAGAGAGTAGGAAGAGGGGCCATAGAACTGAACAGATTTTAAGTGATAAGGTCGAGATACCCTTTGACACAGTCATCTGTCACCTGAAAATCTCTCATAAAGAAATATTCTAAAATATGGAAACAGCTCTCTATGTGACATCACACGTGCATCACAGCATTCTTTATTTATTTTTCATTTTCTGTTTTTTGTTTTTTGTTTGTTGTTGTTGTTGTTTTGTCATTCAGGCTGGAGTGCAGTGGCATGCTCTCAGCTCACTGCAACCTCCACCTCCCGGGTTCAAGCAATTCTCCTGCCTCAGCCTCCCGAGTAGCTGGGACTATAGGCGTGTGCCACCACGCCCGGCTAATTTTTGTATTTTTAGAAGAGACGGTATTTCACCATGTTGGCCAGGCTGGTCTCAAACTCCTGACCTCAAGTGATCCACCCGCTCAGCCTCCCAAAGTGCTGAGATTACAGGCATGAGCCACCGAGCCTGGCACACAGCATTGTTTTGTTTTATTTTATTTATTTTTGAGATGGAGTCTCACACTGTTGCATGGGCTGGAGTGCCGTGGCACGATCTTGGCTCACTGCAACCTTCACCTCCTGGGTTCAAGCGATTCTCCTGCCTCGGCCTCCCAAGTAGCTGGGATTACAGGCACCCGCTACTACACCCAGCTAATTTTTTTTATTTTTAGTAGAGACGGGGTTTCACTATGCTGACAAGGCTGGTCTCAAACTCCTGACCTCGTGATCTGCCCGCCTCGGCCTCTCAAAGTGCTGGGATTACAGGAGTCAGCCACCGTGCCAGCCGGCATTATTTATAATTGCCAAAAAGTATAAATAACTTAAATTTTTAATATCCAAGGAACAGTTAAGTATATTAAGGTGTATCCTCTGCATGGATTAGTATAATGTCATTTAAAATGCTTATCATGAAGATCCTTTAGCCAAAGGGAAAATACTCATAATAATGAATGGAAGAGTGGCCGGGCGTGGTGGCTCACGCCTGTAATCCCAGCACTTTGGGAGGCCGAGGTGGGTGAATCATCTGAGGTCAGGAGTTTGAGACCAACCTGGCCAGCATGGGGAAACCCTGTCTCTACTAAAAACACAAAAATTAGCCAGGCGTGATGGTAGGCGCCTGTAATCCCAGCTACTCAGGAGGCTGAGGCAGGAGAATCACTTGAACCCAGGAGGCAGAGGTTGCAGTAAGCTGATATCGCACCACTGCACTCCAGCCTGGGTGACAGAGCAAGTGAGACTCCATCTCAAATAATAATAATAATAATAATGACTGGAAGAGAAGTCAGAGTAGTAAAACAGGCTTACACTGAGATTATAAATACAGACAAAAATATGTATGTACAAAATATTAGAAGGAAAGTTCCCAAGTCCTAACAGAGTTGTTAGGATGGTGGCATTATGGATGACTCTTTTTCACTTTTTGTATGTTCCAAGGTGTCTATAATATGGTCAACTCTCATTTATAATTTGCAAAGTATCTCATTTAAAACAAGATAAAGAAATATGGGCTGGGTGCGGTGGCTCATGCTGTGATCCCAGCACTTTGGGAGGCTGAGGTGGGTGGATCACTTGAGCCCAGGAGTTTGAGATCAGCCTGGGAAACATGGCGAAACTGCATCTCTACAGGAAATTTTAAAAATAAGTGAGGCATGGTAGTGTGTGCCAGTAGTCCCAGCTACTTGGGAGGCTAAGGTGGGAGGATCGATTGAGCCCAGGAGGTCTGCTGCAGTGAGCCATGATTGCACCACTGCAATCCAGCATGGGCAACAGAGCGAGGCCCTGTCTCAAAAAAAAAAAAGGAAGAAAGAAATGTGAAAAATGTGAATGTTTGCAAAAAAATAATTTAAGGAGAGAGGCTGTGTAGACAGGGGCTGCCCTTCTCACCAGACAAGCCCCATCCTGTTCTGTGTGTCATCATCACCCTGAGTTTCCTTAGCAGACTCACCTCCCAGCATGCCTTATTGGCTCTATGCACCAGGTGAACCAAAAGATTGCTGACATAAATCTGCGTACCGAGCCATCGGCCAACAGCCTGGTGAGTTACCTGTGCTGGAGCTGAGACGAAGCTTCTGACGGGGTGGGCCCTGGGGATCATCAAGGCGTCACAGTGCCCTGGGGCCTCTCCATTTATTTGAAAACGTGTTTACACAATTGAGCACTCAACGTTAATTTTTTAAAAAATGAATGAACTTTTATTTTTTATTTTTTTGAGATGGAGTCTCGCTCTGTCGCCAGGCTGGAGTGCAGTGGCGTGATCTCGGTTCACGGCAACCTCCGCCTCCTGGGTTCAAGCAATTTTCCTGCTTCAGCCTCCCGAGCAGCTGGGACTACAGGTGCCCGCCACCATGCCCAGCTAATTTTTGTATTTTTTAGTAGAGATGGGGTTTCACCATGTTGGCCAGGATTGTCTCGATCTCTTGACCTCAAGTGATCTGCCCACCTCGGCCTCCCAAACTGCTGGGATTACAGGCATGAGCCACCATGCCCGACCTCTTTGAATATTTTGGATATTTTGGATAACAGCCTTTTGTTGGATATTTTTTTGCAGATATTTTCTCCTAGTATGTGACTTGTCACTTCATTCTCTTGACAGTGTCTTTTCACAGAGCAGAAATTTGCAATTTTACGAAATTTAGCTTATTAATTCCTTCATGGATTGTACCTTCTGTATCATATCTAAAAAGTCATGACCAAACCCAAGGTCACCTAGGTTTTCTCCTGTTGTCTTCTGGAAGTTTTATAGTTTTATGTTTACATTTGATTTTGATCCATTTTGAGTTCATTTGTGTGATCGCTGTAGTTTTCACCTCTCAGGGTGTCTACACGGAGCCTCCAGAATTCATTTATGATAGTTGTGGCTTTGCTACTGGTTCCCATGGAGGTTTCTGCCCATGGGTTTATCCTCCTGCTGGTTGTGATTCTCTGTATCTACCTGCCTGTCTTCAGTTTTCAGGCAGTAGTTTGCCCTGTGACCTCACTTCTCTGATCGATATATGAGTTGTTAATTTTTCAGTTTATTCACCTTTACTTATTATAGGGATGGAATGGTGACTTACGAGATCCTTACGTGTGGACCTGAAATGAGAAGTCTGAAAGTTAATTTTGGTACATTTTTATTGGGAAAAAATACAAACCCTTCAATAATTCTCAAACACACCCACACACACACGCACACACACACACATATCTTTTTGAGAGGCAGGAGTGCTAAATGTTAAGCAAGTAGCTGTTGTGTAGCACAGCTCCCGCAAGATGGAAGAACATGGGCATGAATCATCTGTAAGTGTCTTTTTGGCTATTTTGGATTTTGGCAATGGTGTATATTTGTTTCTTATTTTTAACTGCACTTAAGAAATCTGAGGCATAAATCTAAAGATCTGTAAGATATGGAGATAGAGATTTAAAAATGAGGACAACAAAGAAATGTCAGCCAACCAACAGGTCGCTACTGAAGACCTGCTCCTGGATGGTGCTGGGTACATTGTTTTGGGGTCAGTTTCCCATGCTGCTCAGACTGGATGGTCCCTTACAGCTCACTTGCTCATAGTGGTGTGAGGCAGAGGATTACAATGATGAAGATTTACTCTTTGAGAGATCCAGTGAGCTGCAGGCGAGTTCACCCGCAGGTTTTTCTTTTCTTTCCTTTTCTTTTCTTTTTTTTCTTTTTTTTTTTCTTTTTGAGACGGAGTCTTGCTCTGTCGCCCAGGCTGGAGTGCAGTGGCGCGATCTCGGCGCACTGCAAGCTCTGCCTCCCGGGTTCCCGCCATTCTCCTGCCTCAACCTCCCAAGTAGCTGGGACTACAGGCGCCCGCCACCACGCCCAGCTAATTTTTTTGCATTTTTAGTAGAGATGGGGTTTCACCATGTTGGCCAGGATGGTGTCAATCTCCTGACCTCGTCATCTGCCCACCTCGGCCTCCCAAACTGCTGGGATTACAGGCGTGAGCCACCGCGCCCGGCTCTTTTTTTTTTTTTTTTTTTGAGATGGAGTTTCACTCTTGTCGCCCAGGCTGTAGTGCAATGGTGCGATCTCGGCCCACAGTAACCTCCGCCTCCCGGGTTCAAGCAATTCTCCTGCCTTAGCCTCCCGAGTAGTGGGATTATAGGCACGTGCCACCACGCCCGGCTAATTTTTTATTCAGGAGCCACTATAAATGCATTAAAAATTCAGGACACAATGCAGATCTAGGAAATAAGCATCTCTAATGTGAAGGCCGGGGAATCTGTGTATTTGAATACTTCCCCAAAATGCTGGTCATTGGTCCGGTTTGGGAGTTGCCTTCCTGGAGAATGGCGCTACTTGTAGGCCCTGAAGTCATCTCAAAGGTAAACTCAGCCTAATGCTGGTCTTATCATCTTTCCTCCAAAACTTGCTCTTCTTTCAACATTCAACTATCCTTTCTCCCCTCTTTCTGTGCAAATCTTATCCATCCTTCCAGGCCATACAGTGTCTGCTACAATGACATTGGTAAAGATCAGAGGCATTGCTATATTGCTACAGTGACTCATACCCATCCAATTCATTCCTCATGCCTTAAACTTCAGCTGACTTAATTGGAGCAACAATGTTAATACATAGACTAACGCCTGTGATGGCACCCCAACCCCTGGCACACACACACACCCCTGCACACATGCCCAGTACCTTTCACTCATGCAGACCAGGGAGGGCCCATGCGAGGGAAAGATGGGGGAGGCCTGGAGAGGTATTTCCCAGTTATCAAGCTGGGGAAAGTCGGAGCCTGATGCCACTAACACTCATGTCCGCCTCTTCTGGACATTTGGCTGTGACTGCTCTGGCCCACATTGACCTCACTTTTTTGATTCATAATCACTGCAGTTTAGCATTTAATTGTTCCATGAGTGCTGATTTGGCTCTCCAAATAGAGTGTAAGTCCCTTGAGGGCAAAAACACAGACTCATAGTTGTTCGTTAACTTTGTTACCCAAGCTCATTGCTGGACTCTTGGTTGACAGTCAGTGCAACTTGGGTCACTAGCATTCATTTTTCTTTCTTGCTTTTCAAGGGGTAGGAGGATGGGGGTGGGGAGGAGTCAGAGGTGAAGAGAGGTCTCTCTTGAGAGGTCAAGGTAGATAATAGATATCCCTTATTGAGCAGCTCCTATCTGATAGCCTCTTTGCCAGTGTTTTAAAATACATAAAACACTTTATTTTTGACCGTTATAAGAACTCTGGAAGAGGCCGGGCGCAGTGGCTCACATTTGTAATCCCAGAACTTTGGGAGGCCGAGGCGGGCGAATCACAAGGTCAAGAGATCGAGACCATCCTGGCTAACACTGGTGAAACACTGTCTCTACTAAAAATACAAAAAATTAGCCGAGCGCGGTGGCGGGCACCTGCAGTCCCAGCGACTCAGGAGGCTGAGGCAGGAGAATGGCGTGAATCCGGGAGGCGGAGCTTGCAGTGAGCTGAGATCGCGCCACTGCACTCCAGCCTGCGTGACAGAGCAAGACTCTGTCTCAAAAAAAAAAAAAAGGAAAAAAGAAATTCATCACTGGAGACTGGATAAAGGTTGGGGCACTTGCTGGAGCCTTGCGTGCAGAATCACACCTGCTTCAAAGATCCATTGCTGTGCTACAAACCACCCCACCTTAAAGCTTACCATAAGGTGTATTGTTCAGGCTTCTGTGGATCAGGACTCAGATGGCCTGTCCATTGGATGAGCCAGCGGCTGGCTCACTCGTATAGCCACAGTCAGAAGGTGGCCAGGTGGGCTGGATGGTACCCAATGGTCTTACTTGCCCTGGAAGATAGATATTATTAGATATTAATTAGATATTATTATCTCCCTTTTACAAAGAGATTAAACAATCGCTTGTTTAATTTCTAATTCCTGCTCTAAATCACATACTCCTAGAAGAAGGGGCAGCGTGAGACAGTGGGGACACTATGGGGGATGATGTCAGTGACATTGAGGCCACCAGGACCTACCACCTGGAGAAAGACAAGGCACTGGCCACAAACTTTGCTCCAGATCTTTTGTGTACCAATGAGAGAAAAGGCCCAGTCCCTAACCCCACCCTTCTCCAGGATTTGCATTAATCCCTAATGCCCCTCTTTTTCTTGGTTTTTGAAGGCAATTGAGAGATTTGAATTGGAGAAGAAGGCTTTAAGAGAGAAAACTCGCAGCAGTCCAGGAGACAAAGGCAAAAACCTTTCCCTTAGCCTTGATGCTGTTTTCATGGGGTTTGTTTTTTTTTTTTTTAGTATCTAAAATGCAACTGAGTAGGAATCCCAAGTTTCAGATGAGGATGTTTCTATCTTCTGAAGGAGCCTTAAACCTGACTTTTTGACATTGGGCAAGGAAGGAGGGAGGGACAGTACCATTTAGAGACCACCTACATGTGACACCAGGTGCTTTTATCCACATTCCCTTGTTTTTTTTTTATTTTTTGTTTTTTGAGCTGGAGCCTCACTCTGTCACCCAGGCTGGAATGCAGTGGTGTAATCTCGGCTCACTGCAACCTCCGCCTCCCGGGTTCAAGCAATTTTCCTGCCTCAGCCTCCTGAGTAGCTGGGATTACAGGGGCTCGCCACTGTGCCCAGCTAATTTTTGTATTTTAGTAGAGACGGGTTTCACCATGTTGGCCAGGCTGGTCTCTAACTCCTGACCTCAAGTGATCCGCCCACCTCAGCCTCCCAAAGTGCTGGGATTACAGGTGTGAGCCACTACACCCGGTCCCTTGTTAAATTTTTATAACACCTGGGAGGTAGGTACCATTTAATATATTTTATAAACGAGGAAATAGCCTTGGAGGGAGGGGAGTAACTTACCTAAAGTCACAGTCAGTGTGCTCCTCCTTGCTGCTTCTCTGGATCAAGTGGTCTAATCAGATAAGTTAGCAACACAGTTGGGATCTATGAGACTAGTAGTGGGAGTGTCCTCTGGCAGCTCAGGTGGAAGGAAAAAGTACAGCTGTAAGCACTGTACAGCTGTGGACAGACCCTGTGGTTCCTCATTTATCTCTTTCTCCATTTTTCTGCAGTCAAGAGACAAAGAAAATCTCAGTATTCCTGCAAAGGCTCAGAACTCAGACATGCCAGATCTTCTGTTATAAAAAGGGTAAGGGATCTACTGCTGGGTCTGTTTCTGACTGGCTTCTGCTAGGTATGAAATAAATTTTATTCCTGGGTAGGAGAATACTTGGTGCCTGGGTAGTGATTATGAAGGAAAATCACAGAGTTCCTAAATCTAGAATTTCTCATAACACCCTCAAAAGGGCAGAGCTGACCCCAGCCTCAGAATATGGAGTGTGACAGAGGTCATGTGTCTGCTTATTTTTTAGAACTTAGAAGGTGTCTCCGCTCAGAGATGTTCAGATCTAATCCCGAGCCACGGTGCCACGCAGCTCCAAGGGGCTGTCCACACTGCAGGCCCCTGTGCGACTCTTCTGAGTCACACCCCATGCTAGTTGTGCCACTGCAGACTTACTGTGGATACCTCAGGAAGCTGAGATTCAGGAGCAGTAAGGTGACTTGTCACAGGGTCATGCAGCTCACTGATGGCAAGCGCCACTTCCTGCTCAGTCCTCTGACTTGAGACAGGCTCTCTCCCCTGCCTCCTCTGCAGTGATCTGGCCCCACTGCACAGCCCCCCGGTTCAGATCCTCCTTGGCTTCTTCTCTTTTTCTTTTTTCTTTTTTTTTTTTTTTGAGATGGGGTCTCTCTGTCACCTAGGCTGAAGGGCTGGAGTGCAGTGGCACGATCTCTGCTCACTGCAACCTCTGCCCCCAGGGTTTGAGTGATTCTCCTGCCTCGGCCTCCCAAGTAGCTGGGATTACAGACATGCACCACCATACCTGGCTAACTTTGCATTTTTAGTAGATATGGGGTTTCACCATGTTGGCCAGGCTGGTCTCGAACTCTTGACCTCAGGTGATCTGTCCAGCTCAGCCTCCGAGAGTGCTGCGATTACAGGCATGAACCACCGTGCCCGGCCCTTAGATTATTCTTTACACTGCCTAGGTCTTAAGTATCCAAACCTTTAAATGCTGGGGAATCTGAAACAGTATGTTGTTCATATCCTTCTTACACCTTTTGGCCTAGGAAATTCCAAAACAGCACAAGGCCTAAGGGGGATGTGAGTCTGCATTGGAGCTGTCATACAATCCATTGACAGTGGCTGAGCTAAGTGTCCTGCAAAGGTGGCTCAGCCAGCACATGACAGAGCTGCCACCTGACTCCAGTCATCTGACCCAGAGTCAGTGCCGCAAATCATTAACTGTTCTTCCATTGTCCATGGCCAGAGCCCAGTTAGGAAGTCATCTGGGCCATCCAGATGTTTCGGTGGGCTCCTTTGGGTGTCAGAAGTTTCCTCTTTTACATATTTTTACATTTTTTATAGTCATCATGTTTTAGTTTTATCCTAAAAATCATCTAATGGTATATATTAACCACAAAGATAGTAATATCCAATATTAGCATTTTAAGAAATTCACACTAAATAAATAACCCCAGAGGAAGGGGAACGACATGCTCCAAGCTACCGATGATATTAATAGTAACCGAAAGTAATCAGTGAGTAGTTAATTAAATTATAGCACATAGTAACATGATATATCATCTTTTTTTTTTTTTTTTTTTTGAGATGGAGTATTGCTCTGTCACCCAGGCTGGAGTACAGTGGCGCTATCTCTGCTCACTGCAAGCTCCGCCTCCTGGGTTCATGCCATTCTCCTGCCTCAGTCTCCCAAGTAGCTGGGACTACAGGTGCCTGCCACCACACCCAGCTAATTTTTTTGTATTTTTAGTAGAGATGGGGTTTCACCATGTTGGCCAGGATGGTCTCCATCTCCTGACCTCGTGATCCACCCACCTCGGCCACCCAAAGTGCTAGGATTACAGGTGTGAGCCACCGCACCCGGCCGATATATCATCTTAAATGATAATTTTGAAGGCAACGTAACTACATGAAAATCTAAAGTAAAGTAGATAAAGTGGGATATAAAAATCATATACATATATATTTGACTTCTTAGAGCTATCAAAGTCAGCCAGATAAATCATATATAAATCATATTACGATTGAAGTTACATATTTGTGTTTGTATACATTTGCTCAAAGTCTATAAGGGAAAACAGAAATAACGTAGACAGCACTTTGGGAGGCCGAGGTGGGCAGATCACCTGAGGTCAAGAGTTCAAGACCAGCCTGGCCAACATGGTGAAACCCCATCTCTACTAAAAATACAAAAAATTAGCTGGGCGTGGTGGCGGGCGCCTGTAATCCCAGCTACTCAGGAGGCTGAGGTAGGAGAATTGCTTGAACCAGGAGGCAGAGGTTGCAGCGAGCCGAGAT